ATCAATCTCAATTAATGTTAATGTCAAGATCTATTCTTATTTCATTTTTACGAAAGCATTCTAAATACAAACTATAATCATTACCTGTGTTCAGCCAGCAATTTACTCAAAGAGTACAGCCTAGTCTACATCCCTCTTCCTCACAGCTGAAGGGGTGAATATCCCTAGCTGATGGTCTACCTATGATAGGCAACTTACATCTGCGATCAGCCCTTACTACAGGCTAGCCACACGCTGCTCGGAAGTCACTAACTTACCAACAAGTAAACCACCGAGGAGGCTATGGCTTTGGTCTGCCAAAAACCTATCCAAAAAGACAGACCATGACCACGTCCTAAACAAACAAATAAAACAAATATAATTACTCGCTATCCTAGCTAAATAGGGAACCTGACTAAACCCTAACACTTTATTTTAGCGACCCTACACTGGCTGAACGATCCTAATAAAAATTCTAAACATCACTACAAGTTCCTAATTATCTCAGCCTAAGCTATCTCCAACGTGCATGCTGCCACAACGACGACACAGGCTTGAACATCCATCGGACGATCACTGGGTTACATCACTATTGATCTCCCAGCTGCCTTAGTCCTCATTTTGCAGCTATCACGTTCCATCAGCTTCACATACCATCTTTAAACAAATAAGAACCAACCCACATATAAGGCTAACAACATATTCTAACTACATGTCCTCAGACATACATATGGTATGAGGGTATACCACATGAAGAATTTCTAATAATTAAATAAATATATTTTCCCAGAATGCAGACAGTCCTTGATCAACTGGAAGGATGAGCACGAACTATTCGCACATACAGGATAATATATCTATCAAATTTAAAAAAGAAAAACAAAAGTAAATTTTATCTATTTGATGGTGTATCCTCTCCTCCCTTCCTTCCAAGTCTGCATGTATAGGAAAATATTAATTTTTCTCCAAATATTTCTCATAACGTCAATGTGGCTCCACATGAAAAATAAATATAAAAAATTAATTAACCTAGTAGAAACAAACACATTAAATTCCCTCATATAGAACTTTTTCATCCTATTCACATGGAGTAGATTCTGCCTACCCAATCTATTCCTATTCATACTTAATCTGCACATAATACAATTAATCCTACTCAACCAATTCACTACCCTAAGCTTCGCGTAACATACCTCTTAGATAAAGCAACTCTGTTTTTCTTGTCAAACATTCGCTTTTGCTTTAATTGTAAATCATCTACATATTCTTTACGAGAACTCATCGAAGCTGCTCGTTTTACGTAGTCACTTCGCAAATTCGCCACATTACTTACGCGAACACGATTAGAAATGTCGCTTTCCGAATTGTATTTTATATATATTTTCGGCAAAGCATTTTTATAATTATTTATATCTAAATCCCGTTTTTGACGCAATTGACACGTCTTATCACTCACGTCAACATTACTTATCATCTCTGGCAAAACCGAGAAGCCATCCAAACTTTTTGATACGGTTTTCAAAGGAGACTTTTCTTTCTTTGGTCCAATATCTATCATGGACTTAGAAGAAGAAATTTTATTGTCAATTTCCACTTTTGACAACTTGGAATTACATCTCTTCAAAATATCTCGTCCCAGAATTAAATATTCTTTAAAATCGTCTACAACCAGCAACTTCGAAGGATAATCGTTCCCATTAATCATCAACGACACCTTGGTGGACGACTGCACATTTATTGGCGTTGCACCCACTGTACGTAATGGAAAACTTGGACTATCATCGATACGCAACTGCAACCTTTCCGCAAAATAACGAGAAATTACTGAAACTGAAGCATTAGTATCCACCAACGCCTCGCAACATACATCATTAATAAAAACAGATATAAAAGGTGCCTTATCTACACTAGAACTACCAATTGTAGACAAATTTTCTACATGTTCAGTTGCGCTTTTGTGACAATCACGCTGAGGAGATCCCGACGAAGATCCACTACTATGTGCTCGTGAATACCCTTGACATGGCGTATCCTGCTGCACGACTGGTGCTTGTGGCACTAAATATTCCGACTTCTTAGACTCGGGTCTAATTATCGGTGCAGAGACACCCTGTGTTTGCCAACAGTGAGAGTGCTCCAAGTGACAAAATACTGGCAATACAATATCTCCTCGACTCCCATTATAATTGTGATTAAATATCTCATCTACTTGGATAATTGTTTTCCTCAACTCCTCTTTAGATAAATACAAATTACTAGCCAGCATCCATTTAAAATTGGGTAACAAAGACTTCAAAAAATGCTTAATAAACTGAACATCTTGAATATTTGCTTTCATCGCTAACTCATTTAAACTATAAAAATAACTTATCAGCGATTCATTAGGCCCCTGTCGCCTATAATAAAATTCTCGTGCGTAATCTATCTGTGAGGGAAATTCCTCTCTTAGCTTCTGTGCAATCACATCATACGTCATGTATGAAGAAAAATACGTTTTGTACCATTGTAGAGCTGGCCCCTCCAAATACAATGCAAACACGTATTTCTTCTGCACATCAGACCAATTATTTAATATACTAATGGTCTCAAAATGATTCAAAAAGTCGTCAACGTCGTTGAATCCATTAAACTTTTGTGCCGGTACCCCATACATATTTCCTTTTCGCACTTTTTACTGGCACCAATTATAAAATAATATTAAATAAGTATAAATATCAATTACGACCTTTTATTACGCATTCCTGGTGGTTTTGTCGTAACAACATATAAACATTTTTCCACGATGGACTTTTCTTCATCGGAATCCTTTCTTCATTAGTAAGCTTGCGTCTAACTTTTGCAGGCTTGAATTACATTATATTTCTTCTTCCATTCGTAGATTTTTCAAAATAAAAATATAAAAAATTTTCACTTCGGGGTTCTCTTTATTGGAACTTTTCCATCATTCGCAACACAAGCTTTTGTGTTGTGTTGTGTTCTTCATCACCATCATATTGGGATTCGTGCCTCCACCATTTATAATAGAGTCCGCGCCTCCACCATTTATAATAGAGGGCTGTAGCTCAGACGCATTGCGAGAGGTACTTTTAATAATATAAAACCGGGATCATTTTAAAACTTTGGTTTATTTTACCAATTTACATGTTTAGGGTTACAAATCAATCTCAATTAATGTTAATGTCAAGATCTATTCTTATTTCATTTCTACGAAAGCATTCTAAATACAAACTATAATCATTACCTGTGTTCAGCCAGCAATTTACTCAAAGAGTACAGCCTAGTCTACAGTACCAACAGCCAACAGTCAAAATAGGAATGAAGAAGGCAATATCGCAATTAGTAATCATTAGAACATCGTCACATTCACAATTGAAACATTTTTGACAAAATTTTACCTTCTTTCACAATCTATGATTAAAACTGTCGATGACATGACTACATGACTGATTAAAGTTTCATTAAAACCTGGCAAACCTGCAACTATCATTTTACTCCGTCTTTAAAAAAGACAGACTATGTATGATGTTAAACTTGGAACTTACACTCGTAAACTGCCTCTCATGTTAACAGAAGTAATTTTTTTTTATGTCATATCACAATTCCACAGGTCGGGTAGTCAGCGAGCTAGGCGCTTGGGTGTGCGCGTGCGCAGCTCGATCTCCTGGTGCTCTCATGGAGGTCGCCAACTCGTTAGTGAAGATCGCGCGAGCGTGTGACGAAGCGGCGCGTACGCTGCCATCTGCTGCGAAGCTCGACGCTGACTTGTTGGGCTGGCCGGGATTGGTGTCTAAGAGACAACCGTTGAACACTAGCGTTATTCGCAAGTAAGTTTATTTATTAGCACTCTATACAGGATTGTCATATTTGGAATGTCTTCGGGAAGGCCGAATGTACAGGATCTGTAGAGCGTCTACAGATCTACTACAGATCCTGCAGATATTGAAGAAATTAAAGTATGAAGTGTTAACGACAGCCCCCACTATCATTTTCCTCATATATACTAATATTTTTCTCAATCTGTTAAACGAGTTTATAAAAAATGAGTTCATAAGTTCACTAAATAAAAATTGGTTTACAGGTGTGACATCCAAAACCACACAAAAGAAGGCGGTTCCTGGATCGTAATAGCGGGTCATGTCTACGACGTTGACAACTTCGATTGCGAAAACGCTGGAACAGTCGAACTCGTGCGCAAGCTCCGTGGTTGTGACGCAACTGCTGCTTTAAGCGTGGAGCCCCATGCAGCGTTCTTGTCTAGGATAACTGAGAAATGTGTTGGATTGTATGCAGATCAGATTTATAGCCATAAATGCATTGTAAGTTTGAGAAAATTCTAAAATAAACATGTTATATTTTAATATTACACAAGGACACTACATCATACACACTTAACATTGTAGGTATTGAATAGTTTGTGTACGTTTTCGATATAACACCACCCACATCATGACCACAACAATAAGTAAGTTATTAATATAACAATAAGTAATTATTCACGTTATTTGGTTTATTTTATTTTCGCGGCACGGTCGTCCGTTACTCATTTAACTTTGAAAACCAGTCCTTTTAAAAAAAACTTCTATTTGGAAAACCGGGGAAAACTTTTTCTTCGATAGAAACAATATTTTTGTGTTACAGCTTTTGAAGAATAACAATACAAGGTGGCTCGAATTATGTATATATATATATATATATATATATATATATATATATATAT